ATAGAGTGATACGGTTTTTCAGCTGCTTCTTGCCAAGACAGGTGCAGGCCATCGACAAAGTCCTTCCAAGAAAGCTACAACAGTTCAGCAACTAGTCACTACCGAACCAAGTACATCAAAGGAAAAGGTGATACCTACCGAACCCACATCACCCTCTCTCTCTAGCTCAATAGTGCCATCCAATGTGTCTTCTCTTAATATTCCTAAGGTGAGTACTACAGATGCTCATGTAAACTACTCCAAATAATGGTGTAAGTACATATAAGTTGCCACCAAGGCAAAATCGTGGTGTTCCTCCTAACAGGTTTTCTCCCGAAAGAAAGGTAAAGTATACAATAGCAAATTATGTGTCATGCAAGAACCTTGCGCCTGAACGCCAAGCATGGGTGAATAATGTGGAAGCAATCCAATTACCAACCCAAGTTGAAGAGGCCTTGAAGGATCCTAAATGGGTTACTGCAATGGATGAAGAGATGATGGCACCACATAAGAATGATACATGGGAAATAATGGAACCACCGAAAGGAAAAAAACTAGTTGGGTGTAGATGGGTCTTTACAATTAAATATAAGGTTGACGAATCAATAGACAGGTATAAAGCAAGGTTAGTAGTAAAAGGTTATACTCAAACATATGGTGTTGATTACCAGTAAAAAATTTTCCTCAGTAGCCAAGATGAATACAGTATGTGTTCTTATTTCATTAGCTACAAATTTGAATTGGCCACTGAAACAGTTTGATGTAAAATCGGAGTGTGTAGAAGTGGCTTGTGTAGAAGTATATATGGATTTTCCTCTGAGATATAATGCCGGAGGGAAAACCGGAGTGTGTAGGTTGTGAAAGTCGCTTTATGGGCTTAAGTAATCACCTCGTGCATGGTTTGGTAGATTAACTCAAGTCATAAGAAAGAATGGACATTACCAGAGTCACTCCGACCATACGTTGTTTGTAAAACGAAGAAGTGGCAAAGTGACAGCTTTAATTATCTATATGGATGACATGATAATAACAGATGATGACTCAGAAGAGATGGTAAAACTGGAAGAGAGTCTTGCAGCTGAATTTAAGATGAAAAATTTGAGAGATTTAAAATATTTCCTTAGAGTAGAAGTGGCTTATTCGTGTAAAGGTATTTTCTTATCTCAACGTAAATATGTTCTGGATTTATTAAAGGAAACAGACATGCTTGGATGTAAACTTGTGGACACTTCCATTGTAGAGAAACATTATTCGAGGATTTATCTAGATCAGAAACTGGTTGACAAGAGTAGATATCAAAGACTAGTAGGGAGGCTAATTTATTTATTTTCAGGCCGAATTAGACCTCGTCCCAGGTATGAAAAATGCTCATCTCCTTGAGTTGTACATTCCTACAAAATTTGGTAATTTTGGAAGTAGTTGAAATTTTTCGGCAAGTCAGGACGGCCGACCGCCAAGCACAGCACATGCGGTGGCACGTGATCAGTCAGCCAACACTACCATTTTATGCATATTTCGATATACTGAAACCATATTTAATATGCATTTGGTATGACTCACTTGTTTGAACCTAGTTAGTGATTGTTAGTCGCTTGAATGATTTTCAGAAATGAGTTAGAAATTGAAATTGTGAACTACGAATCGCTTGATCCCTTTGTAGGGTACATAGGCAGTCTAACGAGAAGGTTAGATGCAGCCATAATAAGATAATTGAGATTTAATCTTTTCTTGGAAATTGTCTAAGAAAAAGGAATTTGGTGATCATCTTCCGAAATAAATTTAGGGCATATCTTAGTTTTTGCTTCCAAATATAAATTTTCAGGTCGTTACAGCTAGGTTATTGTGAGGTACTAATTAAAAATAATAATAATAAAATATAAAATATAAAAAGCTGTACAAAATAATTAATTATTAAAAAATGTATATAAACTCAGCTGTAATCACTATTCGTGTGTGAATCTTATATATATATATAGATATATATGTATATATATAGCTATATATCTATATATACACAATATTTCTTATAATAACAAACCTTGTCTTCTCAAACCCACTCGTCCCACCACATTCTTGTGTAAACTCATTCAACTTTCTCCAAAAGAACCCATCTCACAAACCCAATCTTGAAGCCCACGTTACCCTGCTTTGCAGGCTATATGAAGCTCCGAAATTATCCCAAATGAAGCTTGTACTAAATTGTATTGTCACGTACCATATTATTAATTGCCCGGTTTCCGAAATTGCGTCTCTGATCAAGGATGACCATGATGGGGTGGAATTTGTTGGGACATTATGTGATATGCACTGTTATAAAAATCTTCACTTAGGTATCGCCTAGATGTTAGGCGGTTGGTCGTTGCCACGATTAATGTCTTGACGTTTGAAAAATAAAAAAAGATGCCTAAACCTGTCTATGCCCCTGCTTAGCCCGTCTAGACTTGCCTAGACCGCCTAAGTCGCACTCTCACTTAGATAGAAAATAGACATAACTTCCATTTTACATTTTATTTTTCAATGAATTGTAAGAAACTTGTTGGATACTTGGATAAACACTCATTATATGTTTGTTTCCCATATTTTCAATTTATTTTAGTACTTTATAATTTATATGTCATTATGTGTTGTAATTTATGTATTTCAATACAATTATATTGTTAAAATATAAAATAAATAGACATTTTTTTATTTATATACATATATAATAAATTTAGTTAAAATTAAAATAAAAAAAATAAAAAAATAAATTAAGGGCATAGACTCTAGGCTCTTGCCCGCTACTGAATTATTGCCTAATGCTTTTTAGAACCTTGATGATATGTTGTTCCGGGTTTATGCAGAAAACAAATGTTTGAAGAGTCTGTTGGGGTATTTGGTTATGTGGGTAGGAATGGGATTGAGATTGGAGAAAGGCCCTGCATTGTGCTTTTGCTTGCATTGAGGAAATGTGGTCGGGTGAATTCATGTTGGAGGTTTTTCGATCGAATGGTCAAAAAGGGTATTCGGACACGGTTCTTAGTTAAATATAACACTCTTTTGAAAAAAATCGTATCAGTTGTTACGTAGAGTTATTTCTTGGAAAGCTATGTTTACGAAGAGAAGTCTCTCTTTAGAAGTCTAGGGCTGTATCTGTAATTCTTGGATATAATTCAAGGGTTGTGTCCTCTATGTAAAGGTGCTATTGTAATTATATACTACCATATGGGCACACACAAAGTGTGTGAGAAAATTTTTATTTTTGTTTTTGAAATAGGAGAGAGGAAGAGAGTAATAGAGAATGTGGGAGGGGGAAGTTTTTTTTATTTTTTTTATTTTAATTAGAGATATGTTAGAATTACATGTAGATGAGGTTTTGAAAGAAAGAAAAAAACAGCAAAATTTGGTTGTATAAAATTACATTTCTGCCTCATATTTCTTATTGATGTTTTGTTTTAATTAGAAAGTTAAACTGATAATTTCATAAGATTTTGGTTGACGAGTGTTTTATTAATTAGTAGAAATGTAGTCCAGTCCATGTACGAGGCACTGAAAATATTTCGTGAAATGCCTGGCAGAAATTTAACTCAAGGTGTTGTCACGTACGTAACTATGATTTCGGGTTAGTTGAAGAATGGGAGAACACATGAAGCTCTTAAATTGTATGATGGGGTGGAAATGGCAGACCTCACACGGTCACACCTGATAAAAGTCTATATCGTTCACTTGAAGACTTAGTTGGCATGGCCGAAAGAGAAGAGTTAAGCTGAAGAAAACCGTCTTCAATTTCAAAAGAAGAAAGAAAAATGGAGGATAGGGTAAGTAAAAAGGGTAAGCTGATAGGAATAAGATGTCGCAATATTAGAAGCACAACTGAATATGCAGAATTGCAAGGAATAAGAACAGAGATTTTTGGGTTGCAGAATATGAGGATTTCAACTTTTACTGCGATGTTTTGAATTTTGATGTGCTCAGCAGTGTTCATCATCTGCCACATCCAACCGCAGTCTCACCATTTTGGTTTTATTTTGGTCCTTCGACGCCAACACCACCAACAGCAACCGTCCCAAAGTAGCTGCGACCGAAAGTGCCGGCACCACCAACGTGAGAGGCACATAGAGGGGTGGAAGTTGGATTGCAATTTCTGACTGCGCCATCAAAATATAGAATCCGAACTCGAAAATTTTTCCAACGAAAATTGGAATGGAGTTGAAATTCTGAAACATTCAAAAAAATTTATAGTTATTTACTAAAATGAGGTACTTTGTAATCAGAACTTATTTTTAGCATGTTCAATGTTAGGTCTTTTAGAGGCATTTTATTCACGTATTTTTATGTAATTATACATATACAAATTAAATGATAATATATATATTTAAAAATAAATTATACACTTATATTTAAAATAATGAACATATTAATATACTGCATAGATTTATACATAAGTACTACATCGAAGTTAAGAAAAAATAATAAATTGCATATGCGAAAAAGTTTATAAATAGCTAACAACTTGTAAAATATTTGAAGAACTCTAAATTACGTTGCGAAATTTTTGAGATAACTCTAATCTTAAAATTCTTAAAATTCCGGTTAGAACTGTATTTTTGGAATGGAAATTCGAACCATATTTTCGATCTAATCCTTCCAACGCATTCAATGATGAGAATATTCATTGAGAAATTGGTTGTTCTAATGACCACAACAACCGGGTGTTGAACTAACCAAGGTAGTAAACGTAGTGGAGATGGTGACGGTAAGGTGGTGGCGGCAATATGGTGGTGAAAGCAATGGTGTAGTCCATCAAACACCATAGCACCAGCTTAAAGATAAAATATCGTCGTTGATGGCACTTACCGTCGTGATTGAAAGCAATCATGTTTATGCACCTTGGTGCGAGTTCGATTCCCACTAATTTTTCTTTCCTATCAACTAACTATTTATCTCGCTATATCACTCTATAAAAAATAAAAGTAAAATATAATACAATATGGTCCTAGTTTGTATCGGTTTGCTTTTTGAACATCAATTAATACCCGCTAAAATTTACACTTCCTAAAACGCCTCTTCTCCTCCTTGTTCTTTTTGCTTTGACAAAAAAAATGTCTCGGAAAACCTTCAAAACCTTGAAGAAAGCCTTCCCCACGGATCCCGCTTCGATATCGAACCAAGAAACCGCCGAGAAGATTGCCAAAACCCTAATCAAATCAGGCCTTCAACCCCTCAAATCCACCTCACCATCTCTGCTATCCAATCTCAACCCCCACGTAACCAACCTTGTCCTCTCAAACCCACTCGTCCCACCCCATTCATGCTTGACCTTATTCAACTTCCTGCAAACAGATCCTTCCCATAAACCCAATCTTCAAGCCCATGCAATCCTCATTCGCAGGCTATATAATGCTAGAAGATTTGCCCAAATGAAGATTGTACTGAATGGTATCGTCACGAACGATAATCTTCGTTGCCCCGTTTCCAAAATTACATGTCTGATTGAGGACGAGCCTGACGGGGTGAAATTTGTAGGGACATTGTGCGATATGCTGTTTCGGGTTTATGCAGATAACAAAATGTTCGAGGAGGCAATTGGGGTTTTTGAGTATGTGGGCAAGAATGGGTTGGAGATTGAAGAAAGGTCATGCTTTGTGCTCTTGCTTGCGTTGAAGAAATGCGGTCGGGTGGATTTGTGTTTGAGGTTTTTCGATCAGATGGTCGAAAAGGGTGTTCGAATCACGGTGTATCCGTTGACGCTTGTGATGAATGAGCTTTGTAAGAAAGGAGAGGTTGAAAAAGCCAAGGCTTTGATGCGGGAAGCGGCCGATAGAGGGACTAAACCTAATGTTTTTACATTTAACACGCTTTTGAAAGCGTACATTGAGAGGAAGGATTTTGAGGGTGTCAATGAGGTTTTGAGGTTGATGGAGAAAGATGGTGTGGGTTATAATGTGGCAACATGCACGCTTTTGATTGATTGGTTTGGTAGTTCTGAGAAGATCGAGGATGCGGAGAAGGTGTTTGAGGAAATGCGTGAGAGAGGGATACAACCCGATGTGTATGTTTATACTTCGATTATTAACTGGAATTGTAGAGCGGGAAATATGAAGAGGGCGCTGTTTCTGTTCGACGAATGTACTCAAAGGGGATTTGTACCGAATGATCATACTTACGGGGCGTTGATTAATGGCGCATGCAAGGCAGGGCAGTTGGAGATGGCAGACATCTTGGTGAATGAGATGCAAGGTAAGGCATTGACGTAAACCAAGTTGTGTTTAATACGCTGATGGACGGGTACTGCAGAAGTGGGATGATGGATCAAGCTCTAAGGCTGCAGGATGTCATGGAAAATAAAGGGTTTCAGCTTGATGTGTTTACTTACAGCACTATAGCTAGCGGGTTGTGTAAATTGAACAGAAACGAGGAGGCAAAGAGCTTGTTGTTCACAATGGCTGAGAGAGGTGTGGCTCCAAACGTAGTCTGTTTCACTACTCTGATTGACATATTCTGCAAGGAAGGAAACTTCGTCGAAGCAAACAGGGTATTTCAAGACATGGAAAGGAAGGGAGAGAGACCAAACACTGTAACATACAATGCTCTAATTGATGGGTATATTAAGAAAGGAAAAATGAAGGAAGCTCATAAACTGAAGGAGGAAATGGAAGACAAGGGGTTGATGCCAGATATGTATACGTATTCATCGCTTATAAACGGCAAATGCATTGATGGCAAGGTGGATGAGGCGCTGAAATTGTTTGACGAAATGTCTCGGAGAGACATACCCCATAATGTTGTGACATATACAGCAATGATTTCAGGTTTGTCGAAGGATGGGAGAACAGAGGAAGCTTTTAAATTGTATGATGAGATGAAAAATGCAGGCCTCACGCCTGATGACAGAGTATATCATTCACTTGTAGGCAGCCTTCACACAGCCAACCCATAGCTCTACGATGAAACTATATTATTTTCTTCGTTAGACAATGGGAAATGGATCAATTACTTGAATTTGAAAGAATGGTTTTGAAGTCAATAGGCCAATTTGTATAAGCTGGTTTCCGTCGAAACGAGATGATGAAAAATAACAGCCACCCCTCAATGAGGAGTGCTAGCTTTTCAATAAAAGATGTGAGAAATATACAATTAAGTTACAGTAAAGAGTTTCACCTCTTCTCCAGAAGAAAACCGAGAGTCAATATTACAACTTTGAAGCATTGAAACCTAGCCCATGCTAGCGCAAGGTTTTGATCCTCGAGCCTAAGTTGTTCATTCGGACGTTCTTCATATTCCAAGCCACAGCTTGCTGTACATTCACCTCCAAAAGCCTGGACCTCAACAGCTGAACTCCAGATTTCCTTAAAAATATCAGGAATCTGAACCAGCGGAGTAGATACCATAGCCAGGTGCTGCATTTCTAAACAAGTAAGGGACCATAAGCCCCGAGGCCTTGGCTACCAAGGGATTGCTTGAGCTTCAAGAATGCTCGGCTCTCCAGCTGCCGCACCCGCTCCTTGGACAACCCAAACATGTTGCCAATCTCTGAAAGTGATCTCTGCTTGCCATCTTCAATGCCAAATCTTAGCCTGATTATCTGTCTCTCTCTTAAGTTGAGGATGCCTAGAAGGTGGCGCACATGTTGCCTCATAAGCTGCTTTTCTACACTCACATGTGGGATCTCAGTCCCAGTGTCAGCAGTTATCTCCTGCAATTATGCAAGAAAAGATATCTGGTTCTTAAACCATTGGAGGAAGCCCAACAAATTGCATCATATTCAAAATTTGACTTGCCTACAGCAATATCATTGAGACAAATTTGAGAAGCAAATCGAGAAAACGAGAATCTTTACTGGAAAGTGCTGTCTTGGTCTGCCCAGACAGGTTGTTGCATTGAAAGTGGCATTCTTGTAGAATATAGCAACTTCTGCAACTTTTCAACTGTAATTCCAACCCGTCTCGCTAGTTCTTCTTTGTTTGGATTGTGATTTCCTTCCTGAATACATGATTTCTTTGCCTCTAATACTTTGCCCAAGAGGGTGTACACATTTTCCTGTGAATAAATTATCGGTTATCTGTCATGCTCAGTAAAGTTCATTTTGTTTGGACATGCTATGAAATAGTTAACTTTTGGGTACAGATTTTGATGGCAACAAAACTTTTCTTTATCAGCATTTAATCAATTCAAACATTTTCCTTTTATTCCAAAATCCCGTTTCAGAAATTTTCCGAACAGGGTAGCAATTGACATAAAGTATACTTTGAAGAACAATCTCGTTGAAAAGTAGAGATTGGAGACACGGTTTCATTACCGGCAAGCGGATGGTTCTGGAATGTTGAAATATGGCCTTCCTAACTGTTTGCCTTATCCACCAGTATGCATAAGTAGCAAATCGGCAACCAGCTTGAGGTTTAAACTTCTCAACACTCTTCATAAGGCCCATACTTCCCTCCTACAAAAGTATTGCAGAAAAATAGAGCCTTCATTAGTTGTACTTCAAAATCTATGCAACAATTGCATTAGGCCCTTATGTAAGAATCTTAATACTGCTCTTTTTGGTTCAATAAGTTTGTGAAAATAATTAATAGTATAATCTCCAGTACCAACCAAACCAAACAAATGATACAAGTTTTCATAGCCTTTCCTATGTTGTCAGCAATCAGATAGAGCATCCGCTTAGTATTTGTCATACTGGAAATTGCTGACATTCATTCGGATGATCGTAAAGGATACCAACATGTACAATAGTTGTTTTGTACAGACTACAGATGCACAAATTTAAAATTTAAATCTGGCATGTAGGACTTGCCAATGCAATTTGATGATATAAGACGATGCTTTTACTGCATTCAAGCAAAAACAAAAAAGTTTTGCATAGAGGACAGGTCATTCAGTAAGAAAACATGTTCCAATGAAGTTACCTGCATTAAGTCCTGAAGGCCAAGGCCTCGCCCTTGATATTGTTTAGCAATGTGAACCACCATACGTAAGTTAGCATAAATCAGCTTTTCACGGCTGTTGGTACCAGAGCGAAGCTGTGATTTCAAGATCTGACAACTAATTCCAACAGCTTCGGCCCATTCAACCAAAGTTGGTTCACGACCAAACTGTGATTGAAGTCTATTCTTCACTTCTTCTAACTTAAATAAATCCTGTTACACAATTCGTCACGTCAATGCAGATAAGACCCCTCAAAAACAGTAATTCCAATATTAGAACTTCGCAGACGGAAATGACTTTAGATACACACCTGAACTCGGGCAATCAGTTCAGCCTCTTCCTCGGCAGTCAAAAGTTGTTTTGTTTCAGGACCCCACAAGAACAACCGCAGGGGATCATTTTGATTAAATCCTTCGTTTATCTTTCTCCGCACATCTGAACTTGGAGGACTGTTAGTCTCATGAATTAGAACTTTTGATTTAGAGACCCTCTTTTTCTTAAGTCGCTTTCGCCGTCTCTCTAGAAGTCGGGTTGACCTTACAGTTTTCTCATCCTCAACCAGCCAGTTGTCCAAACTACACAAAACTTTTGGCTTCAGTCGCAAAGCAAATTGATATGGTAATAAAAATCAAACAAGTAATACGAAACTGACCCTATAGAAAGGGAGTCATCAAAATCATCTCCCATTGATCTGGAGCCATCAGCAAATGAGACTGCTTCTTTTGAGGCTGACAAAGCTTTCTTAGCCAGCGCAACTGCGTCAGAGGGCTTGATGTCCATATGCTTACTGGAAGCAGTGGTAATAGGCTCCACAGTTAAAGGTGCGGACAACTTTACCCCTGTTTGTAAAGATGAAAATCTGCAAAGTAGAGACAACAAGGATGCAATCTGGTTGTAAAATGCAATCACCTAAGAAAAAATGACGCAAGTAAAAGGGAAAGAAAAAAAAAGCGGAGTTTTATTCATCTTACACATCCAAAAGACCAGAGCAGTTACGCAATTGGTGCTCAGAGTCCTTCACCAACTGGTAGAAACCATCAATGTCTAAATCTTCATTGAGAGAGGCCTTAGTCTCTATCTGCATCCTATCTAACGTAGCCTTTTTTATGAACACAGGAAACGGTAATTAATTAGGAGTTTCCCACGAGACAGAGATAGAATATGAGTCCAGTTTCTAAGAAGTAATCCCAAGTATGCCTACAAATGGTAAATGTGTAAGCATGAATCCTCACATAAACTTGAATTATATTTTAGCAAGAAAGGTAGTATCATCAATAAGCATAATTTCAAACAACGGAAAACAGACAGTTTAAGAAGTTTTCCACCATTGAGGATTACACAAGTAAGATGCAGTATAATTCTAAAGCAAATGTCTGATCTAAGTAACGTGCATTTCATATTTACAGCAGAAGTCTAACCTGAGATGTTTTCTCTTCTTTCAGCGCATGCAATAGAGGCTTGAACTCATCGCGCTGCTCTTGTAGAAGAACCGAAGTTGGAAAGTGTCGAGCTACAAATGTAATCGGCACAGAAGGAACTGCAGCAGTTGCTTGCTCGTGAAGCATCAACACTGCAAAATACGAGTGCCAGACAAGCCTGATGTTAACCAACAATGCACAAAATGGGGCTAAAATATTCCTTACTCAAATATCCTTTTAGATAATCACTATTAGAACAATCTGCACCTCTTCAGTAGCTCTTGTAGTAGCAGATTGTCTAAAGACTAATTTAAGTAACTTAAGGCCCGTTTAATAATCGTTTCATTTTTACACCTTAGTTTTCATTTTTGTGTTATAGATGGAGAAAAAGTATTGATAGAAAGGGGGCATGAAGAAGGGTAAAGGAAGCATGGTGGAACAAACGTGTATGGATTGACACACAAAATGAAAACTAAAAAAAAAACTGAGAACAATTTTGAAGTTTTCTTTTTTCGCATTCAAGTTTTCGTTTTCATATAATCTCCTCCATTTCTCCCTCCTCCCTCCTCCATTCATCCTTCTACATTCCTCATTTCTCTCGTATACTTTCCCTCTATCCGTCTAGCACAAAAAACTAAAACTAAAACTAAAACCCAAAAACGAAATGGTCATCAAACGGGCCCTATCATCTCAAGACATTATCATCTAATCTCTGATTCTAGAACCTATTCTCCTATAAAAACATCCAGGAAAAACACACATCTGTTCACACTTTTCGAAATCAAAGCCTCAGAGCACAATTCAACACACCTATGCATGCAAGAGAGCAAAAATAATCTTTCCCAGAAATGCTCCAACAAAAAAAAGTCCAAAAACATCCTCTACTTCCAAATGTAGCTGTGGCATCAATATTTTTCAAGTTGAAAGGACTAAAATCAAACAAAACAACCAAATATCCAAAACACACAATCTCAACATACCCAATTGCCGTTTCAGGCTTTAACACAAAAACCAATACTTCCCAACTCATAATTATGTCCCAGTTGCTGAATTCCAAGAACTATAAGCATACCCAATTTCCCAGTAAATTCCCAGAAAGCAAACAGATAAATTCACGTGTAAGAAACACGAAAGTTACGAACTTTTTTACCTGAGGTGGAGGAAGAAGAAGAAGAAGGAGAAGAAGGAAGAGGATGCCTGAGGTGGGTTGTGGAAGGAAAGGCCGAGGAAGAAGAGAGAAAATGCCTCCCAACCTCCATTGAAATTGGAACAACAAAAAATAGTTAAAATTATACTCCTGGGTAGTGGCACATTCAGGTGAAGATGGTGTGTATTCTTCTGGGTTGCTGGAGTGCAGCTACGTCTATGTGCGCGTAGCTTCTTCGAGCTTGCATTGGTTTTGTGTGTGTGTGTGTGTGTGTGTGTGTGTCTGCAGATAATGTTGCAGGAGAAGCTCAGCTCTTTCATCTCTCAGACTATTTCACACCTCAAAATTATCTTCTCGATTTTTTTGCAAATGGATCAGGTTGGGCTTTATTTTACCTCTACTCAACATAAGGCCTTGTTCAATTTTAAATCATTTAGGGCTTGACCCAGAATGTTTGACGGACCTCAGCCCAAATTTGCCCTTTATTTTTTTCTTTATTTGGTCGATATTTTATCTGAGTCGGAATTTGCTACACCACCCTTTTTAGGTGTTGCGCGTTACCACCTTTCTTAGAGCGTGCGATGTGTTAGCTTTTATATTAAAGTGGATAAAATATAGATTTTATTAAATTAGATGTTAGATTAGAAAGCTAATAGGATTCGAATTTACGCTGTGGTGCAAAAGCAACTATTCTCTCTATCACCATGGTAAAGAACCACTTGCACCCAAATCCTTATTCGATCGGGAGATTTTACGCACACTCCACGTCATGGAATCCTTATTGGGTATGACAATAGTAAAGCCCATTTCAGCCAAGCCCGAGTTTAATAGAGTGAAATTTAAAATTGATCCAAGTGAACCAAAATTCGCTAATTAGAGCGCAAGAGGAGGTGGAAAACACCATTTTGCGACCAACGTGACCGCTGAGGGGATTAAGATCCAAGGGGGCATTTCCGACATTTTATCTTAAAATCCGACAATGGTCAAAGTGGCGCCAAACAAGTGACAAAAGTAGAGGAGAAAGCAAAATCATGAAACGGTGGCTCTAAGCGCTTGACACGACACAAAAGTGGGCCCTGGCCCCTTGCATTGGAGACTCGTTTTTAGCGTGCCTGACGAGTATATACATCATGTTATTATACAATTAGAGCAATATTTAAAAAAAATAAAGAGTTGTAACGAAAAGCTCATGGTACTGTTCACTTTAACGAAAAACCATATTTTTACACTAAAAAGTCAATCTTGGTACTATTCACTTTACCCTTTATTTTGTCCTTATCATTAAAATTCAAAGTTTTCAAGCCCTTTTCATTAGTTTTCCTAAAAAAATATATATGACGTGTTGTATCGTGTTCCAAACTTAATGAAAAATGAATTGTTATTGGCATTCCAAAAATCTCATTTTACACACTAAACTTGCTATATTTGGAAAGAAAAATACACTTGTAAGGAGCAGAATGAAATTTTTGAAATGTCAATTACACTTCCCAATGAAAAAGCATTCCATTTTCTAATATCAACCAAAAATTACAAAAAAGAAATAAAATTAAATTGGCACTTGAAATGTGGGGGATAAATTAAATTGGAATTTGAAAAGTTTAGCAAAGAAATAAAAAGAAAATTGGGTAAAGTACAAAAAACTACCTTAACTATTGGTGTCACGATACTTCCATACCTCATCTTTTAAAATTGACAATGTCATACCTCATCTTACGAATTTGTACCAATGTTATACCTTCCGTTCGCCTGCCGTTAATTTGTCAGTAAAATTCTGACGTGGCTTGACCCAGACCTCACTTTCTATTAAAAAAACTAAAAAAAATCATTTAATATTTTTAAATATTAAAATAATAAAGAAAATTTAAAAAACAAAAATCAAAACCTTTCATCGCCTAATTCGCATCCCCATTCCCAAACAACTCCCTACTCGAGTCCTTACTCACAGCCACCGGAAAATCCGAACACGTCCCATACGCCACCTAAGCCCTAACCGAGCAGCACCTCCGGGTCCCACTCCGCTCACTACTCCTCCCGGAAACCGACCTCGACCCACAACGTCGCCGCTTCTTCATGATGAACTGGAAGCTCCCGTTCCTAATATGGTGTCCGCCGGAGATCATCCTGTCGTCATTGACCAAGGTAAGCCGGGACATGTCGATGGCATCGATAGAAAAAGAAGTATTCCTGTTAGAGAGGCAGGGGCATTTAGTGTGGATGAGGAGGCCATTGGATTTGCAATCGGCGAAGTCTAGGGTTTTCGAGGTGGGCGTGAAGGTCTGCTGCTGCAGCTGGAAAGGTCTCTAGCCATGGAGCTGGAACACGCAGGAATCGACGGAGTGCCGTGAATCCAGGGATTTGTGCGACAACCCCTGCATAATCTTCAACCAAAAAAAAAAAAAAAAAATTGAAAACCCATCAACCCCCAACCCCTGAAGAAGAAGAAAGGTTTTGTTTTTTTTTTTTTCTTCTTCTTCTTCTTCTTCTGTTTTCTAGGTTGTAGTAGGTAGATTGGGGGGGGGGGGAGAGGGAAGGAGGGGGAAAGGGACGAAAGGTTTGGTTTTGTTTTTTTTTTTTTTTTTTTTAACTTTTCTTTATTATTTTAATATTTAAAAAATATTAAATGATTTTTTTTAGTTTTTAATAATTTTTTAATAGAAAGTGGACCTTAAATCAAGTCACGTCAGCATTTAACTGATAAATTAACGGCAGGTTAACGGAAGGTATAATATTGGCACAAATTTGTAAAATAAGGTATGACATTATCATAAGATGATTTATGAAAATGTCGTAACACCAATACTTAAGATAGTCTTTTGTACTTTACCCAAAAAAATTTGGAATTTGAAAAGCGGGGAAAAAGACTAGTTATTGAACGCTGCCCAGCGCGTGTTTGCCCTTTTCTGAAAAGATAGCATGCAACTCATACCTCCTCTGACACAGTCCTGCGGAAAATAAGGGCTGGGACCCACCCTCGCTTTCCCTTTCCCCACGTATCTCAAATTTCTCCCCACCCACAATATAAAGGGGACCCCCACTCCTTGTGTGGGGTCAATCGAATCCCATCAAGTTCTCAAAACCCTAATTTAACACTCTCTACTCCAAACCCTAAAACCACCATCGCCACCGCCATGGCCTCCGAGATGGCCCTCCAGCCACTCCACAAACTCGAAGACCGAAAGCCAACCGTCTTGCCCACCGCCGTTCTTACTTCCGCCACCATCCAAACGGCGCCGTCGCTCCAGCCTCCCAACTATCCGACCTCCAACTCCAGGCGCAGCCCAAGCCCCAGAAACAGGTCAGCCGGCGGAACACTAGGGACCGCCATACAAAAGTCAATGGACGGGGCCGCCGCGTCCGGATGCCGGCCATGTGCGCCGCCCGCATCTTCCAGCTGACCCGGGAGCTCGGACACCGCTCCGACGGCGAGACCATCGAGTGGCTCCTCCGCCACGCCGAGCCCTCCATCATCGCTGCCACCGGCTCCGGCACACTCCCGGCGGAGCCGATCTCGACCACCTCCCCGTCCGTGTCGTCACAAATGCCGTCCGTCACTTGCCGGGTTCAGCCGCTCAAGTCGCTCAGAAGCTCCGGACAGTTCTTGTACCCGGCGGCGGCCCAGGCTCATCAGGCGATGCAGCTGCAGCTGGACTTGTGCCAGCCGATGGGGGTGGACTATAATGCGGGATACCGGCACATGCCGTTCACGTCGCTGCTGCTGCAGACGGGGGAGAGTGAGGTGGAGGAGGGGCAGGCGGAGGAGGAGGTTGTGGGAGTTGGAATTGGGGATGATGAGTAGACAAGGACAATGTGGGTGTGCTGAGTAGGTGCGGTGGGTGTGTATATCAAAAGCAGAGGGTGCAGGAAACAGTGGGGGGCGGTAGCAGCCATGTGTAACGGAGGTGGTGGGGGGAGACAGTTTAGTCAACATGGGGATGGGGGGTGTGTTTTGGTGTAGAGGGGGAGTTGTGTTAGTGGTTTTTGTGGTTTAGATTTAATTACGTTGTAGTTCATCAATGGTTGTGTGGTAAATTAGTAATTAAGTAGTGATGAGGGTGGAAATTTAAGTTGTATATGTTCAACTAAAATGGAATAAAATGAGGATGTCATTTGGATTAAACATTTAACATTGAGTACTGCTACACTTACCATCTATTCGTATCAACCGTCAGCGTGCGTGAGTTCCATCTCATCTCTATCTATTAGAGAAATAGTGCACATATATTGAATGAGAGGAGGAGAGGGAACCATGGACCCACCCACCAATGTCCAACTTAATCGATTTATTCTTATAAATTTAGTCCAATAAAACGGAGAGGGAGGACAAGAGGATAGACTGAGTGCGATTCCCTCCAATCCAAGGTAACAAAGAAAATCGATGACTTTGACAAAGCAACGATCCTGCTGTCATCTTCAACCTCAAGTTTGGATATCACTATCGAAGTTCTATTCTGGACCCTATTACTCTAAAGAAATTGTAATCACCCGTCCTTCGATCAATCATTTCAACGATGAAACGTGAAGCATTTGACGGCCGTCGAAGCAAAAAACAGACAACCTATGGTCCCTATTCTTCTTCTGCTGCTGCTATTACTCACGGAAATGTATAAATACTTGACTACGAAACCTGAATTGTTGCCCGACTGCCTCTGAAACCAGAAGCAAATTGAACATGTATCTTTTGAGCTCTGTTTCTAACTAATAATCTGCACCACTCTCTCTCTCTCTCTCTACTCAAATGAGTAAGTTCAATGACCAAGCAAAAACTTTAGCACCCTGCATCCAATCGTATATTCACCAATGCGCAAGATGCAAGTAAATGATTACCCATGAAACAAATGATGTAAACAATGGCCGAGCTTTCCAATTCAGTTGGAAACTCACCGGTTGCATATTTGTCGTGTTGACGCAGATACTCACCAGAGATTTTCCAATTCAGTTGGAAATTGGAACCCACCGTCTGCATATTTGTCATATCCGCTCAAATATACGCGCTTGCACAACGACATGGATAAAACTGCTGGTAGGAACTGGACAAATACATATGTCGCATTAAATCCACGTTCAAACAGAGAAACTAAGAGGCTGAACAGTTGTAAGAAGATAAGATTATGAATAAGCAGATTCTCACAAAGACTCACAAAGATTCAACACACTAATTTAAATCTGTTTTCTGACAATGTATAAAGGGATTCATTATTGTATTGCAACTGGTATGTTCGAAAATACTGTACGGTACCAGCATGCGACTACAAAAATCACACATGCAAGCAACCATAATAATAGTAAATTTATAAAAGGAAAGAAACTGAAAAAAGAAACTCGCTCTTACGATGAGATAATCCAGCCTGGACAGGACATTGGAAGAGCAAAAATATGAACATGTGAGGTTCTGAACCAGGGATCTGCATGATTTAAACAAAAGCAGTAGCGAGGGAGAAATGTGCCTAATGCCATCCAAACATTCCTAATGCTTATTCCCAAATATCCGCCATTTTTTCTTTCTTCTGTTCTCATATGAGGGTGTGCCTGAAATAAAACCAAGACCGTAAGTCATCCATTAATTTTAGACAGAGATGTAAAACCCAAGGCATCTCGGCAGGCACTAACGTCGGCCAACTAAAGAGTCTCTTTGAAAAATCAACTTTGAAAGTTTTCAGATCAAATAACGAGATATTATGGTGGTGTGTCATGACTTCTCACTCCCCGTCTCACAGTTGGTATTATACACACAGATCCGAAAAGAAAAAGAGACTAAGTTAATGATCATTCAAAGATCATTCAAAGACTGTTAGGTAATTATACAATATTATTGCTTGAAATGGTTGAGTTCAGCTGAACAAATTATCCAGAGGCCAGGTTTCATTTTACTACAATCTACTTTGTACTCTACAAAGGTGCATAAAGGAAAATAAAAAAGGTTACCTCCTTGAGGAAAAATTGAGTTGTAATGCACCTCCGCCCAGAAACTCAAATAAATAACTGCACAAGACATAATAGCGTCTGTAAAGCTTAATGGAGGACAAAAGGACAGTAACATGTGGAATCTAGAAATTTCAGCATACATATAATTAAATACTTAAAAATTCCCATTATCTATGCCCACAACGAAAACTAAGAGATCAACAAGCTTACCTTGTTTTGAAGTTTGAATATTAGGAAGAATCTCTATGCAACAGTTATCCTTAAACGACGTCAAGACAAATATTTTCACTTCGTACTGCAACAAATTATTCACACAAGTATCAGTTTTTTTTTTCTTTTTTTAGTACACAAGTATCAGTTACCATATCAATTACTGTTCAAAAGTTGGAAAAATCCATATGTGCACACTTCATTGTAAAAGATCTTTCGTACCGAATCAGCAGCCGCCTGTAATGAGACATGGTCACCCCACTCACCATCCCTGGTTTCATTAAGATTGATAGGTATTAGTTAAGGCAAAAATCAGTTGACAGGAAAACAAGAAAAATTATGAGTTCAAGTCATACTTGGACATCTTCTCCAAATAGTCATCATAAGCCATGGGAACATATCCCTCGTATATCTCCGGATGAGACTTAAGCTGATAACAGTAAACCATCAGAAGGATAAACCAGAATCAATGGAAGATAGTTGATAATACACAAAACTTAAGGGCGATAAAGTTCGGTATAACAAATAGGTATTTCCAGGAGAGCAAACCTGATTTACAACTTGCTTTCTCACATACTTGTGGTTGTCAGGTGATTGATACAACTGGTCTGATAAAGCATGGAACTGCAAAAATAAAGCAAAGCATGAGATTAACACGTCTAATTTGAAGTATTCTAATATCAATATCCAGTCCTAAACAACAGAAACGGACATAGCTACGAAAGGACTAACCTGGCAGTTGCCATCTCCTGCCACCTTGTGTTCGACGAAGCCATATAATTGAAGCCTACATGAAAAAGGCAAGAAATACTTTTATGAACCCAAATCCAATATCAGACCATAAGTCAAAGAAAACACATAAAAATGGATTCTGCTAGTTAGGCAAATTATTGAATTACATACTGATGCTACTTCACTCCTAGAAAGGAAAGGGGCAGAACGTACCTGTCAACTAGCCTTTGATGATCTGAAGTCGCTTCATCAATTGAAGGAATTTCTCCATTGATTCTAGGAATGTGCTAGACCATATAAAGGGAACAAAGTTAATACCTGACATTTGCACATCATGCCATGTGTAGCAATCCAAATCCAAATACACTAGTCAAGAATGTGAAAACTGTGGACTTTAATTTCCAATCTACGTTCCCAACTCTACTATTACCTAATTTTTGTTGTACAATGTGACAACTCCAATAAACTGTTTACTAACAAAAACATGATGAAACATTTGAAGTTACAACATGGTGAAAACACTGAACAAAGACAGAAAGGAACTTTGAACGACATAAACTTACAGGAACAGGATTCCAGCCCCAGCCTACTTCACCATCATGTGCACATCCATAAGTTAGCTCCAAATGATCATCAGGGCTAGAACATGAGCTGGAAGGCGCCACAGTATCAGCTTCTTCCTGGCCATAACCATGGTCTGCATGGTGCACAAAAATGCATATCAAGATAATTTAATGATATAGGTTAATTTAACATGTATAAAAAGAAGGTGCAAGCAGCAATTTTCCAGATACCTAAGTAATAATCTCTTGTAGATTGACCGTGCCACTCATTTGCAAGAAATGAAGCTTGTGATTGCGCTTCTCCTGCATGGGAGTATTCAGAGGCTTCTGTTACAGACAGTCGCGAAAATTCTTCTTGAAGAGTATGTGCAATGATCTCATCATTTTCTACATTGTTTGATTCTGTATCATAATGACTTCTGATATACTCTTCATGGTAGATATCATTGGCATTGCGTTGTATCATGTCACCACAGTAGTATGAAGAACTATAAACTGGCTCCCCACCAAAAAGACGAATACCCCACTGAACAATATCTGGATCGTACTCATGGGAAGTCATCTCCTTAAAAATGCATATGTGGAATTAGAATGCTCAATCTGCTTCCAGGAGCAATGATGGAATCCCTCAGAAGATCAGGAATTTGAGCAATATCTGCCAAAAAGCTATAAATAATATTAAAAAAAAACCTTCAAAGCTTTGACATGCTTTAACCATAACTATAATTTGCATGCGAATTTCAGCTGCACAAATCGAAACTAAATCACAGTATGAAATAATTTTAAATAAAGTATAGTGCTCCCGATTGCAAGGGAAAGCTAAGGGTTTTTAATGTAAACCCTTAATATAATAAAGCAGTTGACTTTTTTACAGGACACTGGCGAAATATATAGTAGACCTACAATTGATTATACATCTAAACATAGAACAGATTAGAATAAGCACATTTGCGAAAATGATGTCTGCCCCAAGTAATCATAATTTAAGACTTCACTAAGGTCAAGTAAGTTTATTGTTAACTTATATTAAAATTGTAATGATATCAGAAAGGGTTCAACCCACCGTCAATAAACCAGGAAAAAAAGATAATTGCTGATCTAGAATGACCGCCTGCAGACTTTGATTATCCTTACAACATTATAAATTGACAGAAAACCCTGTTAACCTAACAACGCGTGCTTATGCACTCTCAGCGTGTCTAAATAAAATATCACAAAGAAAGATAACGACCTAAACCAGCCCACCTGCTTTTGCAATTTTAAACTAGATGCCTGGACAATAAACACATAAGAAAAAGGGTCAACGATAATGCGGAGAGCTAAAAATTCTTAACGGTTAATCCTTTTTCCTTACATGCTCAGGGAAAACGAATCCAAGAAATTAAGTAAACTTTAACCCAAAGAAATTAGTCTTTACTTAAACATATCAAAACTTCATATAACATGTATACCAAAATTAATGAATCAATTGTGCAAACAAAACAATTTAATTAAAAACAAACTGCAATTACTCTCCACAACATTCGTATTACTACATACTCAATCTCAATCTCTGAATTTTCTTAATGAATCGATTTGATTCCATTTTATTTGAAGACTACACCTCTATCTATTTATCTTCTTTCCACAATTTGAACACAAACTATTCACCCCATAACAACACGACTTGCAATCTGAACAAGACACCTGCTATGCAGCAACGCAGACGTGGGTTAGATCAATTCACTCCGAAGTTCGAATCCCCATCGATTAAAGTAGTTTAGAATATCGTCTTGCCGAAAGAAAAACAACACAACTGCTACATGGATATCCATGATCAAAACCATAACCTACGAGCAATCAAACAGAACCCAGAAAGCTTAAGCTTTTGCAATAACATCTAAATCAGCAGTAAAATCTCAACAATAATCCAAACAAAAACAAACCCAAATTTCTTCATCAATCAATAAAACAACCCAACAAAGCAAACAGAGTTAAAACTGTAAAAATCAAAAGATTAAGAACTCACCCAATCAGTTCCTGCTCAGGGCCAATAAGAAAAGCAAAAGCCTTGAAAGCTGTCGTTTTCGCAAGAGGAAAGCTTAGGGTGGAAGTTATAGAGAGAGAAAGAGAGAGAGAGAGAGGAGAGAGTTGGGAGCGATGCACTCTGTGTGTATTAATAGGACGATACGTATTGCATTGGATGACGACGAAGCACTACTGAGAAAATCGACCAGAAAATGGAAAAAAATAGGGGTGCAATTTCACCCCAGCGACGCTAAAGTTCGAGCAAGTTATCCTCGTACGGACCGAATGGACGGTTGAGATTTACTTGATAGGGAGTTAGGTAGTGGGCATTTACTCGGTAATTCCTTGAACGGCATCTTATTCCATATTTGCATTCCCGTCCAATTAATTGACTACATTATGATTTGGGTAATCAGGGAGAATAAATTTGTAAACAAAATTTTATCGCTTGTTTGGTATCTTATTCAAAAATTTTATCATTTCTTAAACATTTCTTAAAAATAATTTTCTTTAAGACTCAAAATTTTATTTTTTATGAGATTTAAAAATTTTGTTACTTAAGCGTTGATAAACGTATTCATTTCTATTGGTGACACATCACTTAGTTTGTAAATTTTGTCTCTAAATTTAGTCTCTCTAGTAGTTTGCAAATTCAATTTTATCTTGCAGATTCTTAGTCTGCAAACTTTTGTCTCTAAATTTTGTCAAAATTAAACTCGATTTTATTCCTTTTAGTAGTTTAATCTTATTTTATAATTTTTTAATACAAACGATATTATTATTTTAAGTTACATTAAAAAATAAAATAAAAATATAAACTCGAAGCACAATAAATCGAAAAAGAAATCCGAATATCAAAGCAATCCACCACTATTGTAATCTTACTTCGTAATTTACTTTTGCAGCTTAATAATCTATCCAAGCTATATAATTTCATCAAAATTTCATTCTACCTGAGAGGCAAGTGAGAGGTACGTGTGGACGCGGAGACTTGGATGTGTAAAAGCTAATCCTATTTAAAAAATAATAATAATAAATAAAATAAAAATAAAAAAATTGATAACATTAAGCGAATGTAATGGAATTATAACAATTGGTAAATTAGTTATCGATTTTTCTACTATGTCCGAAGTACGGTATACACCAAAATTATAAACGGAGAGAGGGTGGACTTAGCCTTACAATGAACTAACAATAATATGATTTAAATTCGTCTTGGCGAGAGTCAAACTTAAGACCTCTCACTCACAAAGAAAAGAAATATCATTATATTGTATTACAACGTAATCAGAATTATAAACTGTTAAAACTTATAATATAATTTACCTAACAAAAAAAAAAAAATCTTGACCCACTGTTATCTGGTACACTCTTACAAAATTATAACCGGTGGAAGGTAGAGATTGGTTTGAACTAAGGTTTGGGGGATCGAACGGCTGTGAATGAAGAGATTTGCTACCAATTTGGCTGATGTCATCTGAAATGGCGGATCCTCTCTGAATCCTTTCCTCCTAATTCTAGGGATTCACCAATCTGGATTTTTTTTAATTTGATCTAACGGCTACAAACAGAGGCTCACTTTAAAAGTTATAATAATTTTAGTCATTGAATCAAATTTCAATAGCTTGGATTGGTGGATTCATAGGATTAGAATGAATGGATTCGGAGAGGATTTTTCCGTTTGAAAGCTGAAAATGTCTCATATGAGGCTTCTATTAAAAGAGGTATTTTATTTGGCAGAAAGTTTGAGGTTCAATTAACGGGTGAAAGGTCCACTCGTGGGGATGTGTCACACACTTGTAAGTTAAGTTCTCCATTTCCTTTTAAATAACAATATATTTACATGAGGTATTTGTCGGTTTACGCCTTAACTTTGTACAGAGCTTTCAATTTTTTTTTTTTTTCTGAATCTTAATTTTAGCCGATTACCCCTTAAGATTTTATAAATAGTCAATTCCCCCACGTTAGATTTTTTTTTTTTTAATCCAATTTCATCCATCTAATTTTTCATTCTTTTTGCCCCAATACAATTGTCACGTGTTTGTCCACATAATCAAAATGGATGGAAAATTGTATGAAAACTTTTAAAATCTAGCATTAGGGAAAGTGGTTATTTATAAAAATTCAGGGGGTAATCGGCTAAAATTGAAGTTTAAGGAGAAAATTGACTAATTATAAAAGTTTAGAGGGGTAATCAACCAAAATTTAAGTTCAGACGGAAAAATTGACAACTCTATACAAGTTCGGGAGACAAATCAACTAATATGCCTATTTACTTTATGAATTTACTGATTTGGGTTAAGCTGCAGCATAGACAAATCACAACAATTCGATATTAAACTCAATTTTTATAAAAATCAAACTTCTAATCTCTCACTTAAAATTATAAAATATATATATATATAACACTAAACGACGATACTAAATAATGAAACGTTAATATTATCAAAATCCATGAAACACTAGCAAAAACGATAATAATGACACGTTCATTGCACTAAGGATTCTCTCATTAATTTGTTGAAAAAATTTGTCAGGCTACTGTTCTTTCCTCATGCATGTGCAAGCTCTAAGTAGTTTTATATATATTAAAGGGATCCGATCAAATCAAAGAATGATGTCATGCCATCTCTTATTATATTGTATTTATTCCACATTTGATTTCTGTTTTTATATATGTTTACTCATATTAGCACAATTATAGGTTAATATTGTAACCATTATGTAAATATCATGTGTGCAAAAATCAATTAAAACATGTTGTTTAATCGATAAAATCTAGCAGATAAGTAGACAGTTCTTAATAATTTTATTAATTTCGACCGTTTTTATACATGTTGATGAATATCTCATTTTTTATCGACTTCTTATAAAGATGATCCATATAGAATGATTTATGATGCGAAAGATTATAATCATAAACATAAATTTTTGTGAATCAGCTTTAAAGTGTTTTGCGGAATAATTTCTCAAATTGTCAATGGATGTGATATTCAAAAGCCAATTTAGGCGGCTGCTGGCTTTGGCAGACTTAAGTTTCAAAAGCTAGCTGGCTTTCCAAAATAAACCCCACTAAGATTAGCAATAGTAAGCTAATCTATAATATATATATACACACACACATGTTATAAATAGGTAAAAGTTAGAGAGATAACCTTCATTAGTGACAGGAGCGAAATAGGTGTAAAATATCACACTATAATTATAACACAAGGGAATGACTAATAAAAATGAGAGGAATAGATACTGATGTTATTTATCTTTCTTTTCTTTTTCTGTGTTTTCATTGCAGTCGAGTGCTCTATTTATAAAGCAACTCGCATTATTACATTTTGAAATTTACATCACATGACTTTGAAAATACAATCCTTTTATTTCCAGAACCTACATCACATTTGTGAACATTGAAAAATATGTGTGTGGACATTCATAACAATTCCAATGTTTTCAACAACACACATATATACATATATTTGAATTCACAGAAATTGGAATAATATATATCTTCAACTTCAATTGTAGTGCCTAATTGACGGGCTACATTTAATTGACTATAACACTTACAAAGGTCAGCTTACCATTCAACAAGCCAGTTACTTGGTTTACACGTAACAAACAAATTAATCAAATTAATGGTCCAAAACTGCATCAATAATTCAATGATTTCGTGTACCTAAAGTTTATAATCCAATCCTTTTCCTTATTGCGTACATGTTACTTGAACTTGAGTCTTCTCCCAACGAAATAAACACAACTATCGCTAGATCAAAAGTTAGATGGTCCCTAGAAAGGTTGACGAATGAGTTGAGTAACAAGACTTTTCATTTTCAAGGCGGAAAAAACAATTGTGAGGTAATTGAGCAAAGTGGCGAGTATCAATAGTGCCACGTACTCTTAATAATCGAGAATTTACATAAAACGAGTTCATGGTTATTGTAGCATCTTGATCCAATAATGCATTGTCATATGAAAAAAAGGAAACTAACACATGACCATACACTATTAAACCGAGACGCTACGTGACGTTAAATCAATTCCAAGACCTAATAGCCGCGTCCGAATTCTACCATTATTCTAATTTTTACACGGTGATTTCTTTCAAAATCTGTCTGAGGTGTAAGGGTCCAAGGACCAAGGTACAAATCTTCATACAAACAAATATTTCATCCAGTAATTTTCATTATCAAATGCTTAAACATAAAAGATTACAGAGTTTAAGAACACACTAATTTCAAGAATACATAGTTGGACAAAAAAAATTACGAATAATAAAACTCAACATCTCAGACAAGATTTCAACAGGAGCCAAAAGTACCCTGCCGTCCCTCCCTCTCCAGCTGAGACCACTACAATTAAAATCTGCTCCGGGGCTTCTTGCCCTGCACATTTCAGACCATTTCTCATTCCGACGTTGAACTAGACTGAAATCCGCTATTCTTCTCTTGTAGTCGTGTTCAATGTCTCTAAAACATTCCGAAAAAAGGTTCCGACTTCGAGCATGCTTATACAAATTGCAGAGAAGAATTGGAAAGCATGGGGGATGCTATTTACAATGTAAGTTATCTATGTAGGAGGTCTTCTGTATTTTTCCATGTCAAGCTGTAATTTATACTTCCGATAGCCGAACCACCACTAGGGCCGGATTGCTAAAATGCACTTATAATCAGCACTTCCTTAAAAGTTTTGGTGTCCACGAGCGAGAGAACCAGCCAGTTTCCCTCCTCAAATCTACATTTCTCTTGTTGTTCACTGTTTCAACATCCCTGGAAGTTTCTATTGGTGCTAAATTCTTCGGGGGCAGTTGCAGACTTTCGGTTCCTCTTCGTGCCTCCGTAACTTTATTTTTGCTTGATGGTGCCTCCCTTTTTTTCTTTCCAACCAAGGGTACCTCCATAGTTTTCTTTTGGCCTGATTGTATGTTGGTATTTTTCTTCTGGCCAGATGAAGCCTCTATAATTTGATTTACCATTTCCAATACCTCGCTCATCTTTGGACGATTCTTGGGGAGTTTGACCAAGCATCTGTTGGCTACAATTGCAAGCTTTTGAGCTGACTTGAGGGGGTATTTACCTTCAAGCTTGGGGTCTATTATTAGCCGGAACTTCTTCACATCTGACAGGTAAGGCTTTACCCAATCCAAGAGATTCTGCTCACTCTTAGGGCGGTTTCGATCTAGAGGACGCCTACCTGTGAT